ACCAGGGTTAGGTTGAACTAAATGCCCAATTATACAGGTGTGCAGGGGGCTTAAATTGCCCCAAAATGGTGTGCCCAATCTAAACTGCACTAACTTAGATTGAGACTGAGTTAACCTTATTTAAGAAAGGGTGAACCTGATCTCCAAAATGTCTGTATGTGTTCACAGCACAGCCCCAGGGCTGGAAAAGCCCAGATGCTTGTCCCAGTCCTAGGGCTGTGCTGTTCCCAATTCCTGACCCTGACTGGGCTGTTTTTAGCTTCTCAACCTGACCAACCCATCCTGGATCCTGACAAATCCCTCCCCCAACTCACCAACCCCTCTGTAGATGTGCTATCCCTACTCCCCCTCCTCCAGGATCCCACCTGCCCCTTCCCCAACTGAGTTTCTAAAACTGGGCACCCAGGAACAGCTAACAGCTACACATGCTGCTCCCAGCAGTGGCAAATTCCTGCTCATGCCCATTCCTGGTCTAGTAAGCCTGCTTACACCTAGACAAGGTGTAGTGAATGCTTATTCATACCCTTAAGCTACAACAAGATATTAACAGAAGGATACTGTTTTAGGGACTTTTGTCTCCCTTGGCTCAAATCTTGGCCAAGTCAGATTGTTTCATGGTTTGTGTTCACTGAAAAAACCCCCACTGATCACTGGAATTTCAGTTTTTAGTGGTCTGGCAAACCCATTACACTACTACTCTAACTTACACAAGGTGGAGCTCTTTCTGGTAGTTTCAGCAGAGATTCCAAAAAAGAATGGGTACAATCAACTGAACAAACTTGCACTCTCTGCTCCCCAACTCTGGAATACTTGTAGACAAAAGCAACAAACCTTCCAAGTCTACTCCCCAAGCTGTACCCATTCTGTTAGAACTACCAATTCAGTATCCAGGATAGTCAATCCAGAATCCTAAACATCAAAATAATTTTAACAATAATGATATAAAGGCTACAATGACTAATGAAACAGAGTATTTTTGTGTCATGCATCATGACATTTATTTACATATCTCTTTGCTAGGTCACTAATTTTATGTAAGGCTATACCTTTTATATCCTCTCTATATATATCCTATATACAAAACAGAATCTTACTGAACGAAGGGGCCAACTGACTGTATACGAACATTCAAGTATTAAAGTACTGCTTGGCATGTAAAGGTATCAGAATCTTGTACATAATAGGTACACAGGACTATGATGTGCAGTAGGGCAACCAGAGCATCAGTCCAAGGTGTCTACTTAAAGAATATAAAAGAACAGCAGCTGCTACTACCAGCGCCCCAAATCCTAGCACTATCCCTTATTTCACTGCCACCCAAGGTACAGACCCTGGCTATTATGTTTCTGTAAGTGCAGATGGTTGAATATCTGAGTGTCTGAAAACAGTGTTCAACATTTACTCAAATCTGGAATTGCTTTTCTGTTAAACAATTTTTGTTTCTCATTATTTATTTTAATTATTTCTATAACTACAGTGCGTAGGAGCCCAGGTTGCAGACCAGAAAGCCCAGATCATAGGCCAGGAACCCCCTTTGCTAGGTGCTATAGAAGCAAAGAACTTTACTATCTAGTCTCATTCATAGTTAGGGTTTGTTTACATCAATATTTAGAAAATACTTTTACATAACTATTACAGGCACTTGCTTTTCATTCTTTGCTGCTAAGTATTATTATCCTGTTTTAGCCAACTAATTATGGACCAAAAATATTGCCATGTGACTGAAGGGGCAGCACAAATGAAAAATATCCAGAAGTCACATGCCAACATTTCACAAACTGGTCCTTTGACGTTAGTTCACATGAACCATTTTTCCAACAAATGTGAGCTGCTAGGAATATGTAGAAATCAAATCAGTTCAGGATTGATTTAGATTTGCCAGAATATATATTCATAACAAACAGTTCAATCAACTCCAGTATTTAGATGTACTTTGGTTTGTAGTTATATGTGCAAGGCTCAGTAGTAAAGGATCTAACTGAAACAAATATTTAATATTTTATAAATATAAAATATATAATGTGTTAAATTTAGTGTTATCAGGTTACAGTGAAGCTTCTCTTACTTTCCATTGCAGCCCAATTTAATATTTGTATTTTAAAAATTATTCTTTACAAACTTCAGAAGCTTTGAGTCTGATTCTTGTCTCACTTTTGCTGAGCTGAATGACACTGCTATAAAAAGATTATAAGGG